GGTGGAGCTTTAATCTGATTCATATACCCCAGAAAAATGAACTATTTCTTCAACAAATGTGTCCTGAACATCTGCTGAAAGGTGTTGCAATTTTAAATTTGCAGCTTCTCTAAATTTCTGCATCGGGCATAGTAGTAATTTTGAACAGAAATCAAAACTTGTCATTGAGATTCGGGTAATTTCTTTTCTTTTCACCAATTCTGTAATCAGTGAATCCAGAATGACGAAGTATGTAGCTGTCTTACATTTCTGCCTTGGTAGCAACACAATTTCATTGTCTGCTCTTCAAAAATTGCGTTTCCTCTTTCCTTGACCGCTGATGATCAGCCCGGTAATTGTAGTCTTTCACCAGCAGTTTAGCTTTCTCTTCAAACATTTCAAAAGCTTCATCATTGCGAAGTGAGCTTACAAATTCCACTAAGCCTGCATAGAGGTTAGCACAAGTAGCCATTTCAATTTCAATTTTCTGAAATGTCTTGTTCGGGGCATTTAACCTTTTCCAATATACAGTCCCAAAGCACACAGAGAAAGGGCCAATTCAAAATTTTCCCAAATTTTAAAGATGCTAAGCTGGCTGCTTCGCTTCTTGTAGTTGCTGTCTGGTCTTCATCCTCTGCTATTTGGTTTCAAAGCAGAACGTATTTCAGCAAAGCTGTCTTTCAAAGCATGTTTGCATCATACTGCGCTGACCACCTTGTTGTTGATAATGATTTGATAACATCTCCATGAATGGTTGACTTGAGAAATACTCCACCGATGCGTTGAAGCAGAGAAAAAATTAAAGAGTGCTTGTAAAAGTCCAAAAAAATGAAACTGCAGCGACACAACACTCCGCAGCACATGACCCAACAAGATTAAGAGAATGTGCTGAGCAGGCACATATTCAGCAAGTGGGTTGATTTGCTTAAATACGGGCTTGCAATCCATTATTTTTACCCGACATGTTACTTGCATTGTCGTAGCTCGGGCCACGGCAATCCATAATAGAGAGATCATGTTCAAGCAGAGTATCCAGTACTACATTCATCATTTTTTTTCTCCATCAGGGCCTAAAAAGAGGAATAAATTTTTTATAAAGCGCTCTACAGGCTTACCACTGGAGTCGACAAAGCGAACAATGAATGTCAATTGATCTGTATGTAATATCTGGTGTTGAATCTACACTTATTGCAAAGTATTTTGCAGTTTTCACAGCTGCTATGATGTTATTGAGGACCTTCTTAGTCATCAGTTCAATAAATTCATTGCATATAGTAGATGGCATGTAAGATACAGTGCCTCTTCCTGCATTCCCAAGGCGTGACACATGATTTGCTAAGAAGGGATCGAATTGTGCAACAGTTCTATGACCCCTAGGAAATTGCCATTGTTTTTCCAACCAAAAACCTCATTTTCTCCACGGAAAGCAAGTCCTCTTAGAGCTAAGAATTTTACAACAGCAACAACTTTTTTCTAGAACTTTTCTCCAATAAGTGCGCTCCTTTCAGTTGATTTTCCAAATAGAATCCAATAAGCCTTTTTTCTGTGCACGAAATACACTGGCTAAAATGCAGTCATTTCCAGTCATTGAACCCCTGTGTGAAGATATTTTCTTTGGTAGAAAATAGCTTGCATGCTGAACAGTAAACTTTTCCTGAGCTTTCAGAGTGTACCATCCATGATTTTTTCACAGTTTCTGAATTTGCAAGCTTCCTATAAAACATAAATGACTTTAAAACAACGACGACTTCCATCATCATAAATCTTTGCTTATTTTCCTAAAGTCAATGTTCAGAGTTTGACTGAAGTTTTCTGCAATGAAAGCATTACGTAGAGAATCTGGGATTACATTTGGCCATGAGGCAGGATCTTTTAAGACAAATCCTGTGGATGAAATGTCCGTTGAGACATTGAGAGGAGACACAAAAGAAGTAGATGCTGGCTAGAAATAATGGAGGGAGGGCTTCCTGTATGATCTGACGTATCTGCAGATTCAACTGTACTGGTAACATCAGAAACTGTTTTCGTGAGCATGTCTGTGATCTTTCTGCAGCTTCCTACATCTTTCTTTTTCTGTTCTTCTTGAATTTCTTATTACTTTTCTGGGGACCCACTCGCATAAGAAAAGTCCAACACACGTTTACGAGATGCCATAATGAGGATGTATCACTGTCTGTAAACATGCAAATACAAATTTTTCATTATCAATATTATTAATTTTTAATTATTAATTTTTTTTTGTCAATTGGGGGATATGGCCCTTGTAGCCCCCTTTTTTCCCCTGGTTGCGCAAACTAAAAATTTAAAACTTACCAGAAAGGAGTCATATACAGAACTTTTACCATAGATTAGGTTAGTGATTTGGGCTTTCGAATATTTTACTAATTCATCCTCCCCTTTATCTCCAATTTAAATTAAAAAAGAAATCATACCGAGTCAAGAACAATTTCACAAAAGGTTTTTTATATTACCATTTTCATAACTATAATCATTATGTTTGCATGATATATGGCCTACCACCATAGAAGGACATGAGAATTAAAGAATGCAAAGGGGCAATTTTCAGTTTCACCCAACCCAACGATTTTCTGATGTGGCTGATGTGTTCTGGGGAAATATGTAGTAAATTAATTGATGTTCTACATCACTTCCGTCGCAACTTGAAAACTAACAATTCCGACGGAAGTGATGTAAACATCAATCAGTTGAGATCTGTTATTGGAAATGATAAAGACTTAAAGACAGGACAAAGTGCTTTTAAAACCTACAAACGGAAGTCAGTTGGGGTTTTTAGGTTTTTTTCTTCATAGTATTTTTACCAAAAATGCGTCTTTTCTGGTCCCATGCGTCTTTACTGGTCAAGTAACCCTATCAGGTACCCCTTCCCCTTAACATTTAGAGGCGAAAACAAACATTTATCCATACACATCAATGTCTATCAACAACACTTTAGTTTTAATTTGTCACAGTACAAGTCTAGATAACGGGAATTACTACAGAAAATTGGAGAGGAATCTCCCATACTCACCCATTAGCGGGAAAGCACAGCTGTTCTGATGTAAACAAAGGCGTATTGAGTGTTGCCATCTATGGTTAGGTTTATTTATTTTTATTTTATTTCATTTCATTATTTATTTTTGTTTTGATTAATTTTTAAAAAGCAATTTTACTCTCCAAACACTTGAACATTTTAGGTAGGGACCCCTTTGCACTTGCACCATGTGCGCAGTCTTGGATGAGCCCCTTGGACCGCGGGGCCCCCAAATGCGCGGGGCCCTAGGCAAATGCCTAGTTTGCCTATGCGGTAATCCGGTATGTTACGTACACTGTGTACGTAACATACATATTTAAGAATAGTCTTGAGGTCACACAGATGGTATAATCGTGTAAAAGAACATTCAATTGATTTAACCTAGAATAACCAAATAGTCAGGCACTGTGGCTTATTTCACAGAAATCAATTTGTTAAAATTGCCACATGATAACTTGCACAACCAAATATTAAGAGACAATTTCACTTGAAAGAGACATTAGCGCTAAGGTTAAAAGCTGACCGAAAGATACATATTCCAGTTATTGCACAGAATCCAACTAAATTTGTGCCTGCACAGACTAAACCCACGACACTATCAGTCCAGTGCATAATTTTCTTGCATGGAGATGGAACTTAATAGGTACTATCCTGGACCTACGATGCATCAGCCATTAAATATTGAAACCATTCGTAAGAGGTAAACTGAAAATTATTCAGCGTAATGTAACGGGAATAAAAAAAATCACACTTTTTATACACAAAATCGTCGAATTTATACATCTATACATCGGAATTGTACTCTCATCCATCGTCATATTTTTGGCATATTTCTAGAACTTTTGAAGCTCCGCCACTTAGGATTTTGAAAGTTATCCAAGCTATTCCAGGGTGCTGGAAATGTGTTCAGCAAGTTTGGTCATAAGGACGTGAACATGTCAGTTGTTCCATACATGTGCTGAAAACTTGAAGCCGACTTGATGAGGCGTTCTCAAGCAATGAGCAAAATAAAATCGAAAAGTTAAGGTTTTGATCGTTTTTTAACCTGGAGGATTAGACACCCAGGATAATCAAATCAAATAAGTGCGTCATCAAAGACTTGCTGTCTTATTTCCATTGGGGTCCAATAATCTTGTCACCCAGGATGTGACCCTCAACTAACACCTAGGTACCTGCTTACTGATGTTGATACAGGGGCGTATCTATGGACAATAGTGCCTGTGGCAAGCACTGAAATTGCGCCCGTCTAAACATCTGATACCCATCTTTTAGATAACTTTACCATAAAAACAGCTTAGAAATGGAAGGTTTTAATTAAATTATGGCACTACATGAAAATTACAACTACACCTTCCTTGCTGTCACCGATGCAAATTGGTCTACGATGTGCTCATTCAGTTTCTTCTCTTTCTAAATTCAGAGCTAGATAAGAGAGTCTGCCTTGACTCATGGAGGTCCTGAAATACAAAAGTATTACTTTTAATTTACTGAATAATTTCTTACAGCTGGCGATGGAAACTGCGATGGTTAACATTACCTGAATATCAATGCGAAGATTGGAGAAGACGCTCTCATCTCCATTACTGAACAATAAATTCGAGAAGATCTTCAGGTCTTGATATTTTTCATGTTGGCCCAACTTTATAGCAGCATCCCGCAGTCCAAAATTCTTCATAAAAGCTGCTGTACAATTCATACAAGCTGACAATTTGGGTCAAATTTTCAATCTTCTTTAGGTTGTTATTGTCGGCGCCATAACACAGTCCCTCGACATGCAAAAGAATCCAAACTTGGAGTCAGTGTCATGCAAACGAGCGACCCTTTCAATCCATTTCTCCGTGTACAAAATTGTTTTGTGTGGGAAAAACGGTTGATGTTCCCTTCATGACTCTCCATTCCTCCTCGCTGTTAACCCAGCTCTCGATTCTCATCAGCCATTTTGTTTCTTTTGTCTCGACGTCTTTCAGCTTCAGCATTACATTCTTTACAGAGACAGAGTCCTCCTTCAAATGACTCGCCAGCACTTTTCTTCATCAAAATAAACAAAATGATCTCGGAGGGCTTTCAGATCCAGGGCAGCAACGTGGAGGTTCATGCTAGGGTCCTGCACCTATTTTGAATACGGTCAATGCGAAGATACTTTGTTCCAAAATCCTAGCAAGTCAGAAAATCATAACTCAACATGCGGTTGTACAGCTGCCTTCGTCATTTCTTGTTTCACTGGTCCCTTTTTTATTGCCTATCATGCCTGGAGATAGCTGGCCCAGTTGGCTAACGCGATGGTCTGGAGTTTTGAACTCTGGCCGTGGGTTCAAATCCAGCCCGTGGTATGGTTTTTTTTTTTAAGTATCTCCTCAGGGGGGGGCTTGTTGACAGCTTCGCAGCCTCTGTCTTTGCACTCCACCTCATTTTAGACTCTAGCTTAACCATAGGCACAGCATTTTTGAGTTTTTCCTGCACTGTGTTGAACGAAGTACACGTAGAGCTCTTCGATGGTTCCAAAAAACATGATCATCGTTCTATCCTACTTTACTACATGTACACACCACCAAGTTGAGTGAGTGATTTTCGTACTCACAAACACTGCCAGGTTTTTTTTTCACTTATTCTTTGATGAACACCACTTGTGTGTCCAGCCATCACAGCACATTGATATAGCACTATACCGACAATCTTGTAGCTCCATTTCATACTTCTTAGCTGTTTCAAGATGCCTTCAACCAAGCCTCAACATCCTTCTGGCTTTTCTGGATAAAACCAAGGAAGAACTCTCTAACACGACTGGGTTCCCTCAAAATCAACTTCCACATCTCACTACTACTGACATCCGCTCACGGGGTGCCTGATCAGAGTCGAGTCAAACATGAGGCAGGTGAAATTGCTGACCTAGAAAATGTACAGAGAACCTTCACGGCACACATAAGTACTGGAAAACCCGCTAAGTTACGGAACGGCTGAAGTTTCCTCAACTTATATCCTTGGAATGCCAGGCGGGAGAGATACATGATTATACACTTTGAAAATGCTCGAGGGATTACCAAATTTGCACCACGAAAATCACTCCCTAAAAACAAAAGATCGGCAGGCGAGGAACATCCCCCCCGATGAAAAGTAGGGGTCCCATTAGCACGACAAGTGTCAGGGGCCCAAGACTTAAACTGCCCCCAGCATACATAAGGGGGATTACCAGTAGACCCTTCACTATGTGCCTTCGGGGGGAGCCCCCCGTTGTCTTCAAGAGGCTGGACAGTACCTAAAGTCACGGGCAGCCC